AGCTGCAGCTAATGGGTGGAGTGGGGAATGGGGAATGGGGGGAGTGGAAATGCAATCGATTTGGACTTAGAGCCATTTCTAGTGTTAGTTTTTTCCGTAATAACAATTCAATTAAGACGCGGAACTATTGCTGCAACATGCAATCAGGTGAGAGGTGAAATATGCCTACAATTAGGGCTTCAGTCGTACAGTCGACTGTAGGCCCTGCATGCAATTAGCCATCTCGAAAGAGGAGTAGGCAAACACTCGCGGCTGTCTTGCCAGACATCGGCCTTGATTAATGGACTACGATTGCCACTCGAGCGAAGGGAGCGAAAGGAGCGACGGACTAGTCCTAGCACAGCCTTCCTGTAAACATAATTGCCCACACATAATGCACCCTCGAGACACGAACAAGACACGAACCACTTGACCAGGACCCCCACCCCCTCTCGAGAGCCGCCTGCACTTAACTGAAACATGTTTTCGGTTCTCGGCTATCGGTTTTGGTCTAATCAAAACACATAGAAGGAAGAAGGTGAGTCCGACAATTTAATTAATGAAAAGCCAAAACACTTGGGCATTTCTGGTCCAGATTTATGCCTAAGTATTTGTGGGGCCTCGACCAGGCCAATACTCGTATCAAGTGCCAATAAAAGATAATGGGTCTGTGACCTGAACGCGTGTGTGAGTGCCACCCGATGACAGACAGACAGTCCTTAAGCCAGTGGACCTTTATTGCGTGACTCACGCGGCCGTCTCTAATCAATTTGCTGAACTGCCAAGGTTTTTCGATGGCTTTAATTACTGGTCATTAATCATAATTGAAAAGCGGACCGGCGTATTTCCTTCTTCCACTTCTGACCACAATTCTTATGCAAATTTCCCCGGTTCAAGAGGGTGAAAACTTTTTAGAGGCCAGGTCAGCCAGCCGGGAAATGGGAAATCTCTGACGAGAAGAGTGACAACAGCAGGCCATCAGACCATCGCTGATTACCAGGGTTTCAACTTGCAATTATGTCCTTTTAATAAACAGCACCATAATTGCCCAGATGCTGTGAGAATCCAGAAGGACCAGAGGCTGGAATCTCCCGGGGCTCGGTAACTGAAACTGAAACTGAAACTCAAGCCGAAACGATTGAGCCGGGCTATCAATAATGCGCGTGACACAATGTAGCCGAAGGCAAGGAAAGTCCATTGGGCGTCAGGGATGTTCTGGATGTCACTTTCGCCCAAAAATTATGGAGAATTCCATCGACTATCGTTCATGTTGTGCGGAAATGAAACTAAGAACACGGCTGCCGGTGCTCGCCTTTGGTTTGGCACACGCTGCGTATACACAATGCGTGGGACAGACAGGCATTTGGGTAGATGGATGGCAGGATCAAATGGTATTTCCAGGCATGTTAAGTGGATTGTATGCGTCTCCCCCATTCAGCCCTCACGGCAAGGGGTGAGGTGCGTGGGTGTGTGCGTTTGTGGGGTGCGTGACAATTGTACTAAGGTACAAGGACTCGGAGCCAGGAGGCATGAGCGAGGAGCCAGGAGCCTGGAGCCAAAAAGGCAACAATATTCCCACTTAATTGCAGGCATTAATTATGCACAGAATTAAGATATATGGTGCCCAGAAGTTTATTGTCGGCCGAGCAATGCAATTTGAATTAATTCTTTCACATTCCGAGGCGCTGCTTAATTAGTTTTCCATGAAATGCACATCCACATCCCGTCCCCAGAAATCGATTATGTGTCAATGGGAAATTATAAATTCCAGAACTCGGAACTGCACTCGGACCAGGTCCGAGGACAGGCCAAATAAAGTCAGTAATTAATCTCCGTTGCCACACACAGCCGCAGGCAGTTCAACGAGAGTTGATTTTAATACAATTATCTCCCGCCAGCATTCTTCGATCCCATGCGATCTCATCAGCCAATGTCCAGCGGCATGAATGGTTCTGAAAACTGCGGCAAGCATATTAATATTTTAATTATTTTACAGCTTAAGGCTAACAAATCTATGGGAAAGCATTTTAATTTTAATTTTCAGCAAAAACATCTGCATTGCATTTAATTGATTAAAGGATTTTACCTGGAATGGAAAAGTTAAACGTCGCTACGAAATAATGTAAAATAAACATTATGGTTGGTTAATGTGGGTAAAAGCAGATAACGATTTCCAGTGCAAGTTAAATGTGTAATGAGAGATAATCTAACAGGATTTCCTTTCGCCTGAACAGCGTGCACAACACGGTAAAGAAGGAACCATTCGAATATCATTAAAGATATAAGATACCCAGATAGGGTTGAATCCTAATATTCGTAGTTATTACAGGAATTCCTGAACAATCTGCAGGCAGGTTTCCTGTAAAATCTTTGTCTAATGGGATGTGCTCTGGTTGAGATGCCCCTGGAATACATATCTCTCCGATTCCTAATCAAAGTACGAGTATATTCGCTTTGAAATCTCTTGGGAATTTCAAAGCTCAGTGAGAGATTTGAGAGTCTCCTCATACAGCTATTCCAGCAGTTGGAGAATGTATGTTTAAGCCCTTAAATTACAGAAATTCCTGTTCCAAATTGAGTTCATCAGCCACAAAGGAAAACGTCTCGAGATGCTCCTGCAGCTGCCTTCGTCTTCTCGTGCTTTCCAATTATTGAGTCCTTTTATATATTTATGCAATTTTGCAACTGCTTTTCCTTACAGCAAACTGTTGCATCTTGAGCCACCACCGCATCTGGCACATAAATGAAATTTGATGAATCAAAGGACCAAAGTCGAAGTTGGAGAATAGCAACTGAAATTTAATTCTCATTCTATGGCCAGAATCCCTTGAGGGAAATGTGAAATTAACTTTCAAGCTGGGATTCAGCTGTATCATAAATCAACAGAGCTACATTTTAGGGCGGAAGGTGCAGCATAATCAGGAAGGGACTTCGACTTCTCCTATCCACCCCTCCACCCACTCACCACTTGTAAATTTTGACTTATCACGGTAGACACGGCAAATCCCAGCGATTTCTCATTAGGCAAGAGGCAACTAATTAACATAAGTAATTTGCTTAATGGTCCCCTCAAAGGCCCCCACAAAGGCTGTGCAAAGCAAATCCAACCATCTTCAATATCTGAAAGACCTACATACCTGGAGCAGAGGGAGAACAAACAAAAAGTAAGAAGAACTTGGCGAGAGAACAAACAAAAAGGAAGACGACATTGGCGAGAGAACAAACACAACAGCCAAATGCAACTGTGGAATCCATTGGCTTACATGACGGATTCCCGAAAGGCAGCGGGGCATGGCATATACAATATTTTGTAGTTTGTAATATAAAAAACAAATGCTCTAGTCTGTTCCACTCGACTGGGGCGCTGTCGGGCTGTCTGTCTTGAATGCTGATAGCGCTCGGGGACGGAAATTAAATTTGGCCACGTTAATTGCCTCGATTAGAACTTTTTGGCCATTACGATAAGCGTGGGCAGCAGCAGAAGCACCAGCAGTACCCATCCCCTAGCCAATGGCAAAAACCTGGCTGACCTTTCTGCTCTTCTGCAATGATGATGTCGCCTCCACGGATATGGACTCCACTGTGGACTGCTGTAGTGATTAATTATTAATTAATTAAAAGCTTACAACTGCTTAGAGCACTGCCAATGGGCCGCAAAAGGTGCGGAGCGAATGCTAAGGTGAGGCTCGTTTACGTGGCGTATACGCAATAGACTAGAAAACTAGAAAAGAGCTAGAACCAAGACCATTGTTGGCTGCAACAATACTCGTAGTTTGAGCTTATATTTCCGTGATGCCTGCCGGCATTTCGTGCTCTATTGTTGCGGCTTGTCGCCTTTGATTTGACGGATTCGTTTGTGTGTGACTCTCCGTCTACCGCTGCCATGTGGGGTGTATGAGCAATGCCACATCCTTTGACACGGCAACACAATGTGGAAAGGGAGCGTGGCATTACGCATGCCACCCATTGTGCGGCACCATCGTCGAGAGTCAATTTACAATAGATGAAAGAGCAGGCAGGCAAACTGTGCCAAGCCATAGACCATAGACCATAGACCATAGACATGGCCGGGACAAGGAATATCTTGGCACTAATTCCCCAGGCAAACGCAAACACTATCCCCTGACAACACATGTGCTGCCACGATGGAGACGATGACTCACGGGGCTCTGCCGTTTTCCGGGCCTAAACCAGCGGCAAACTGTAATTAGTGTAAGTGCCCACATCTTTTGGCAGTGCTCTCCTCTCGTGCTTATCCATTTTTCACTGTTTCCATTTTCATGTTCAAGGATGCCCGCCATTGCAGCAGTTCCTGGCAACTGAAATCATTTCAAAAACAGGCACATGCCGACCTCCCCCCTTCTGCTGGGGTTTTTATTCGGTTTTGGGCAATTAAGCCTGTTGTTTTACAGTTAAGCAACAGCCGGGCCCCATCTCTGGGGTAATTTCCACAAAACTTTGAAGATAAAAACGGATGCCTCTGTGCCTGTGCCTGTGCCTTTGCCTGTGCCTTTGCCTGCAACTGAAGCATCTCTTATGGTATTTATTAAATCAAGCGAAATATGATTTTGTAATTTGATTAGCCATCCCCCCAAGGGGCTCCTCCCCAGGTAGGCGGTAATCAGGTTAATGAAAGAGCTCTCATGTGTTGTCTGTGATGCCAGTGGTACAGGCTTTTCGAGTGGCAATCGCTGCGAATCAAAAAATCGAAAAACACTGCACTACAAAGTACCCACAAACAACTCTCGAGAGCTGTAAACACTTCTACCCCCACCACTTAGCGGACACTTGCGACTATTTATTTCTCCTTGGTCTAGGTCAATCAGTGGAGCATATTCGTTGAATGCCCTACAGATTATGGTTGGGTATACCTGCCATAAATCTATATTTAAATCTCCGACAAACACTTGGCGATAAGCACAGAGATCCCCCCCACACACACAGAACGGGTGTTAAGGTATCAAGGTGTTAAACTGGAAAGTTTACTTAATCTAAAAGCCATAATAGGGCTTAAGACTTACGTGGGCCAAACGGGGGTCAACAACACCGCTCTCAATCACTCTCACTTTCACGGCTTTCTTTCGGAAAGTCTTTAGCATAGAAATGTATTTTCCAAGAAAGCTGCCAAACAGGTGGCAAGTGTCGCACTGATTATTTTAATAATAGCACACAGAATATTGGGAAATATGCGGTGGAAATGGAAGCAGACAATGAGTTTTGTTGTCCGGTGGAAAATTCTAGTTCCACAGTTTCAATTTTCGGCTCAAGCACTTTTCCATTCAAATGATTTTTCTTGATTTTTCAAATACATACGTATACGTATACTTGTAGAGGAATAAATATAAATATTTGCTGTTTTCCACACACTAATGGCATTTATTTTTCATTCTAGTAGCACAAACATTTAAATATTTCCTCAAAACAACTCTCACTTTTACGATATTTATTTTTTGCTGGAATTCTCACGCACGGTCGTATTCTAATTATTTGAAATTATATTTTGTATCTCTTTTTGGGGGGGTCCGATTCTAATGCCGATGCGGATGCTGGGGTTTAATTTTTGTCCGTTTTCAATTTCGTTCGACCGTTACACAGGGTTCGGGGCAAAGTCAAAATTCTAAAACGATGAAGCGCGCCACACACACACTGTCGTCGTCGTCCCGTCCGCGTCCGCCTGCTCGGTGTTCGCTGGCCTGATGCGTGCACGGTAAATGTTTAACTGGAAGCGGGACTGACGAGCGCCCCTACAACCGACTGCCGACAGCCGATAGCCGACAGACGACGAGCGAAGACCCACCCACCACACGGCAACAGAGGCGGAGACGCAGACAGAGACGGAGACCGAGACCGAGACCGAGCCCGGCGCCCGAGCATCGGTCTCGTACCTGTCCAGCGCTCCAACAGTGCTCTAACAGCATCTGTTAACAGTGTGGACTCTCCGGGTGGCCCATCTCTCTCCTCTCTACACTCACACAGCTGCGCGCTGTTATCAGCATTATCAGTGTGTCAGTGGGTCGGTGTGTCGGACAGTAGCGCTGCTGCAACAGCAGATATTCTCTCGCTCTCTCTCTCTCTCTCTCTGTGGAGCTCTCCGACTGCCTGCACAGTGGGGAAATGTTAATTCAGCCAAGCAATGTTACAGAGCGCTGCAACTGGCAGAGAGAGCACTGTTACGACCACAGCCAGACACTTGGGGAAGCATGTGATTGTAGCATTGTAGCATGCGATAAAAAGCAAGTTTTCCTGCTAGAAGGGAACGTTTGGCAAATGGAACGTTTGGGCGGAATTTCATGATACTTGTATAGCAATGTAACCTTTCAAGAGAGTAAATATATTAAGATGGGTACAACTTTAATTGTACATTTTTAAATGTATTTCTTGATTATTTGTATCCTTTTATTACAATATTAGTGCAAAAGTTTTGTAGACAAGTTTGAAAATTGCGCCAGCGCTGAAATGTTATGCCTTAACAGATCAATGTTAGGCAGACGGCCTGCAGAAAGAGCTAGTCAGAGCAGGGGAAAACGAATGAGAGTGACATAAAGAGAGAGGCGAGAACGTGGACTGTTAACAGATGAAGCGCCAAAAGATATTCTCCTTCAAACGAATTTTACATGAGCGAAGTAAAAACTTCCATATAATGAAATTATCCTTTTAACTTTCTTAAGTTCAGATATACCCTTTTTTCAAACTACCAATCGACAGATTCGTGTCTGTTATAAAAACGTGCAAGCATAGCAGTTATTCTTAAAAGTTATGATACAGTCATATTCTTCTCTCACCACTTAGTATATGCGGTTCATAAAACCATTTCCCGCAAGTAGAATACTTAAATTTTCCACTCGACCAATAATCATAAAGAAAAGCTCATCGACATGATAATAACCAATAGTCAAAACACAATAAATTAAAGCTTTATAAGCTAACATACGCTGTCAGCCAGGCGGCCAGAGAACATAAATCCTGAAACAGAAGACCAAGAGGCCCCTTAGCCGCCCCGAAATAAAATGGCAAAAATTATTATTATCTAAACAAAAGGCGGGCAACCTCATATGCCATCGCTCAAAAGCACTTGGCCCCGTAGAGATTGGTAGAGAGAGAGACTTGGAGGAGGCTGCAGAGATGTGGGATTGTGCAGTGTTTTCCCCTGGTTTTGTTCGGCCCCGCTTCCCTTTTGGGGGCTCTCAATATTGAAAAACATGAAAAGAAATATTTCCAATCAATTGGCAAACAGAAACGAATAAAATTTCATATCCGAAGAGCGCCCAACAGAACAGAACCGAACAGAACAGAACACACACAAAAAAGAAGAAGCAACAACAAGAATGTTGTTCATTCATTAAAAATAAAAATTCATTAAACAGAGAAACGATCAAAAATATTACACAGCAAAAATAGCCTCGAATAGAGTGCTGTTTATTTTCGAAACAGAAACAACATCGACAACAAAACCAGGAGTACGACGAGTACGATTACGGGTACGGGTACGGGTACGGGTAACAAGCTCTCACAGTGCGATAAAATATGTTTTTTTAATGCAGGTCCGTGTTCAATAAAAGTGCCACAAATCCAAATAGAACGGCCAACAGGCCAAGACTTGCCAGTGCTCGACGGTTTGATATCTGTTGCGGCAGTGTTCCAGTGTTGCAGCAGCATCTCTATGGCCTAAAACACCCCGCTAATGGGTAGGGGACATCCGCAGACCAAAGCGAAAGCGCATATTCCAACAGCTGCAGAAATTGAAAAGAAATAAAAGTGTGAACTGCAAGCCAAACACTCGTTCGTGCATTTTCCCCCATGCGAGTAGATGTACCTACTCGTGTGTCCTACAGAGCAGAGTCCAATAAGCGGATTGGCGGGGAGCTCTGTGCCACGATGCGATACAGTGAGTGCTCAGAGGTCAACCATGTCAATGATTAGGTGGCAGTCGCATATGCCAGCTCAGGTACGGTTCACTGACTATCATGGGAGTACTTACTGGTACGGTTTTTACTGTTTAAAGATTATCTGTTACTACTATTGTTTTCGGTTGGGTTTCCCTGCCCGAATTTAGTCAACGAATTCCTAAATTAGTGGGCAGTGCCGATCCCGCTATGCTCTCTCTTTTTGGATCTTATTTGGCCAAGTACAACTGCAAGCTTCCTTCTTCGCTCTCTCATTAAATATGGCATAAAAGCACTCTCAGTAGTTCTGAGTGTAAAATACAACACGAAGGAGCGTTAGCGGACCACCTCGTACAATTTCAACATGAGTCTGAGCTACTCTATCGCTCTTGTTCTTTCTCTCACTTGCATTAAAGCAGTCCTCTTCGTAGGCATCAGGGTCGCATCATCGTTGTCCATCGGTCGCTCACACATAACAACATACTTACAACCAACATACATATGTATGCATACGACGGCACCACTTCAGTGGAAAAGTGGAAAAGCTCATTTGCTGTACATTTTCAATTAGCCTTTTCTGAACTCCCAAGCCCATTTGGCTGGAACGACGCGATAATAATAACAATCATGTTATTATCTTAACAGCAGATAAGAGTTTGGATTCGATGCCAATTGTGGAATTGAGGGAAATTGCCACGGATTAAATATAGTTATTGTTTAGACATCATTCACATACGATGTGCTCTAAGCGGAATAGTATACTTTCGCTCCTTGTGATACTGCATTTGGTGCTGGAAGTGAGTAAATCCTATGCATAAAATAGGTGGACGTCTCTAATAATACACCCTCAAGAGCACTTCCAAGTTGGAGTTCACCAATGTCAAATGCACGTCTCTGGATGAGAATTTTACCAAATTCGAATATTGCTATCTGAAGTCGATTAATCGCACGTACAAGTATCTCTCTCTCAGGGCCAATTTATTGAAAACTCCCGTTACCAAAATCAAGGTAGGTATATTACCAAACAGATATGCCGACTATATATGAATAATTCGCCTCCATTTCAGTTAAACTTTTCACTGTTAAAACGCTTCAGTGGCTACAGGCCATTTTTATATAATATGACAGTGGACTCGTGCCGGTTCCTGGCGAATACCAAATCTTACCCCATCCCCGCCTTTTTCTACGGTCTGTTTAGTAACTTCTCCAATATGAACCATACCTGTCCCTACGATGTAGGTGAATCCTTCTGATATTGAATCCGCACTCTAACCTGTTTTCTCGCCAACAGCATGATCTGATAATCGATAAACTTTCTATCGCTTCTGTGAATCATCAACTCACAAAAGTTCTGCCGTTTCCGGAGGGTGACTATCTCGTGGAAACAACCTGGCTTGCCTACGATATTATCCGTGCATCAATAAAATTCTATGCCACTCTATCCTGAATTGCCTGAGCCTGTAATTTTAATAAAATCTCCTTTTATTTCCCTTTTATTTAGCTTATTCCTTTCAAATTAAACCCACTTTCTCATAGAACAGATTTGGACGGATCCTTAGGCAGACTTCGACATGTCATTAGCCTTTACAAAATGAGTGCATTGCGAGATATTGATGTTGAAGGCGAATGAATTTATTGTTCGGCTAATAGCTGATGACTACCAGATTCAGAGTTTCGCATTCAGAGTGACCCCAGCAAAAGTGTCGAGTAATATGCGCAAGTTCGAGGACGAAGACAGAAGAAATGTGGGCCTCAACCCCTCGTCCATTGCGATGTGCAATTTATCCTCCGACCAATCGCATTTTCGATTACTTCACTGGGTTATTCTTTTCATTTCTCTGTCAACGAGTTGATAATGCCACGTCAATGTAACTCACTGGCTGAGAGCTGTCTCCGTGCAGCAACTGCGAACTGCTCTGCATCAACCCGACATTGCTTCCCAATTATGAGAATCAAAAACAATGCTTAAGCCAAAGGGCAGAAATCAGAAAGCAGAAATCAGTGGGAATCGAAGCCGCCCCGCCATCGAGGAAATGCTGTCAGATGGAGACAGAACAAATTCGCAAGTCAACTGGAAAAGAATCATAAATAAAATATGCGCGCTGAGCAAATACATGAGCCCAGAAGCCCACAGAACCAGCTAACCAACAACGCTAAAAAAAACGTAGTCCCAATTGGGTGGGGGCCAAGGATCTGGGGCTTTCGGTAACCAGTGGGCGGCAGCTAAGGGGAATTCAATTTGATTTATGATAAATACGCAATGATTTATGCCCTTTGCCTGCGCCTTAGCGTTCGGCTCGTGTCCAGAGTCTAAGCCGCCGATACGCATCAGTTCTGTTCAAATTCTGCTGGCGACCGCAAAATCATCGCATTTTGCAACGCGTTTTTTTCAATTTTTCATTTCGCTAAAACTCTTTTGGGTTTTCATTTCCATGCCAAATGATCAGCAGTCGATGGGGTATATCGGCGAATAGGAAATACAAATATGTATATATTGTTATATATAAATGATGGATTGGTAAGCATCAAGCACTGGAACCTTTATGATAACGTTTTAGATGGTCTTACTCAAAGTCATAGTCACAAAATAACCTTAATCTTGTCCATGTAAACTGATTTTTGAAACTACAAACTTATTTATTTGAATTGATTGCATCCTAGGGTATGTTCTTATTCGACTACTAGTCACATCTGGGTGTGTTACAGGGGCTTTGAGTGTATTCAATTCATTGTCGATTCGTTTCAATTCCACATTTTTCTTTTCGTGCATATAAATTGGCCGCGTCATGGGTTTAAAATTGTGTTGCATACTTTTGCGGGCGCCTGGCTCGGTCTGACTCTGCATATCGCCCTTCCACTGTGTGTTTATGCTACAGTATATATGTGTGTTTGTACCTGTATCTGTGTGTTTGTGCTTTGGTATTTGCATTTGCGTTTGTGGTTCTCCGCTTGTTTGTTGCTTATTTATTTAGTTGTAAGCGTACATATGGATGCGAGGCAAATATGAAGGTAAACTTGCTCGACACTCCATTTGGATTCCCCTTTTTTCGCTCAGTTTTTCCATTTTTTCTGTTTGGTTTTGTGGAAAAGGTTCCTGCGCACAAACACAAACATTTTAAACAAAGTTCCGTGTCCTTTATGTTTGCTGATGTTCAGTTGTTGGGCCCATGCTTATTTCTGAATGATAAATGTGCTGCTGGCAGGCGGCTGGCAAATTATATTGATAATCGCTGCCAGAAGTTGTGGCGCCTCTAAATCGCCGCAAAATTTATGTATATTTTTGTTATCTGCTTCAGTTCAAAGCAGTTTCAAAATCAATTTAATATTTGTACACCCCTTACCCATACCCTTACGCTTACCCTTACCTCTCTCACAAGATGAGAATCCACTATTAATTCGCCTTTATTTGGAAAGTCACGCACTCGGCAAGAGAGCGGAAAGTAAAACAGAAACAAAATTTCAATTAACTTTTGCCTGTGGCCGGGCCGGGCCGGGATGACAGAGTCCCAGAATGCCGTACCCCTCTTGGGAGGCTTATAAATAGCGAAGAACTAGATTAAAAATTCGCCTAAAGTCCTCACCCTTATCACATCCTTCATTTCATCCTAATTAAATGGACATTTCGACAGCTTGACATGTGTGCGTGTGTGTGTGGCTCAGGTTCGGCGCGCGGATTTCGGGGTTAATCCCCGAATCTAGTCTAAGGCTTTAATTTAGTTAGACCTGGGGGTCGCTTCAAAGCTGACAATGTTAATTGAAAGGCGGACAGTGCGGGAATCACGGTGGATATAAAATTTCGAAAAAACGAGCAAAAGTAGCGCTGAGGCAATAAAAGCTACACTTCTGCTTACGTATACGCACCGTATGCCGGCCCAGAGAAGTCGACGACATTGACAGCGAAAATAAAACTTTATTGCTAATTTATTTGATTAAATTTCACGCCGCCGTCGCCAAAGCAGTGTTTTTTCCACGAGTTCAAATGTATTTTTTCACACAATCGTCGGATCGGCGTGCCCTCTGACATTTGCTGACACAACCTGCCTTCAGCCCTTGATTTACAGCAAATTGATAAGAAAGACAGACCAGACGCGACTGATTATCAGGTACCAGAGATCAAAGCAGGTGTTTAAAGATTTAAATTGTGACTGTGCGACACACTCTGCCAACGCAATTCAATTAGAGAGTGCTCTCCCTTGACTGACTCGGCAGACAATACGCGGGATATGCAGGTTATGCGTGGCTCAAAAGTATGCAAAACAAAACGTGACACAGAAGCCACTCATATGCTTGAAATAAATGCAAATGCCAAGACAATAAATGAAAAATAAATGAACGAAATGCATAAGTAAGAAGCATAAAAAGCCAAATGCCGAAAGTAGAGTGGTTTTATACCACAAACAGCCACACATGCACACGTCAAAGCAGAGACAATTTCAGGTGTTCAAGCCAAAGACAATTAAAGAAGCCAAAGGGAGGAGAGAAAATAGGAGAACGCCACAGCAACAAAAGCCATTGCGAATTTCCGCAACGCTGACATTTCCATTTAAATGCGTTACACACTCGCACTTTGCGGGAGGGGGTTTGGTGGTGGGTACAGGTAGGACCGACCGGAGAACCGGATAACTGGAGAATAATGTCCTTAATTTGAATGACGCTTTTTATGCTCTCAACGTTCATTTGGCTGCTCTGCAATTTCCCTGCTCGTTCGGCCATAAAAAACTTTCGCCAAGGAGCGAAACTTTAAGCCCAGAACGGCACGTGGAATTATCTCATTCCCTTTCCGCTACATCTATCTGTGGCCAGTGCTTTGAATGGATTTCTTGCAGCAGTTTTGGGGGCGGATCCACCGCATGGAATGCCCGGAAATTGTGAATCTAATAAAAATATAAATACAACCAACTAATCACAAGAGGCCGAGAGACTCTAGCAAGTATAAATAGGGAAAAACACCCACAACCAAATACTTCAGGCTGTGAATCAGCCTCAGCGATTTTATCGTACGTAAAGTACGTAAAAAAACATCGAGGCAATAAAAAGCTGTAACTAAAGAGCCAAAGAAAACACAAATTGCAGCCGCCGCAACACTGTGTGGCAGGGGCAGTGGCAGTGGCAGTGTGGCAGTCACTCAGATTGAATTGCCACGCATCAGCGGCGACAGCGGCACAAAAGTAGCGGCCGTAATAGGCCAAATGGTCAAATGGCCAGCGAATGAATCCTCCAGGCATTATGGCCTTAGTGGGTGGGCAGAGGATGTGGGTGTTGATGTGGGTGTGGGTGTGGGTGTGGGAGTGAGTGTGAGTGTGGGAAAGGCAAATCGAATTGACATAAATTGAGGATATTTATGGGATCCCAGCTACGATTTGTGCACCCCCGACAAATGGCAAGCCTTAACCATTGTCCAGCAAATAATTTAATGCGTACATTTGCATAGCAGCCCACGCAAATAATGCAAATTAAAGAGCAAACAAGAAAGGAAGGCTATATTTACAATATATACCCTTGCAGATTGCGACGAATGATCAAAATAATGCATTGTTTTTCCATCGATCTTTCGTAAAACACCCCTCTTCTCCGCAATAATAAGAAGAGTCTTCATCTAGATAGCGTTGAAATGTAACTTTCCAATTTTAATATCCACTGCAAGGGTATGCAAATACATAAAAAACAAAGCCTGCTTTGGATCTCAAAAACCCTCCGGATTTTCCCCTCAAATAACGAGATTGGACGCGCTCCCAAAAAGTTATTTCCCTCGCCTTCGACACGACTTCGACCTAGCCCCGCCTCGTTCGCAGGTAGGGGGTCAGAGCCAGGGTCATGCTGAGTTGCCAGCCGGGTTTTTCGTCTTTAATCAGCGACTTAATTAGCTTTGGCAACAAACTGCTGACCCATCGCTTGACTTTAAGCAGAAATAGGAGTTTCTTTCTGTCTGTCTGCCTATTGAGTGGCAATCAAATCGAATTCTCAAATTTACGAGACTCACTCTGGCAAATGCAAAGGGAAATATATAATTGAATTGGGGGAAAGCCCACATGACGCAAATGTGATTTGGCAACGAGAAACGGCAACCTCATTTTCTGGGCTCGAATGTCGATGGTAGGATGTCTGTAGGTGGAGGCCAAAAGCATGAAACATAACACTCACATATGTACAAGTATGAGGCTTCAACAGACAACGGCAGAAGAGTGAGTTTGCTCGACAATTCTCGGGATATTTGTGGTACAGGAATGCTCGGAAAATGCCGCACACACAGAAATGAGAATGAAAAATTCCATTTTAAATGTTGTTTTTCTTGCTTCTTCTCCTGTTTTCTGTGGCAGAACAGAACTCGGTTTATTAGCCCAGGCCGTTCCGAGCACATTCCCATTGCCATTACGGGGAAAGAGACAAGCAATCTACATCGTACTGCATCCTCCCACAAGGCAATTAATCTCCATGAATGAGTTGCAT